AGGAGGAAGAGGATGGCCGGGGACTCGGGGGAAGTTGGACGAAGTGCGTTGAAGTACGTCAAAGCGCGAGAGGGTTGGATGAACGTCTAGGAAGAATAGATAATATTAGCTGAGAAGATCGCTGAAGTTCTTCAGCAATCCTTGATTGTTGTCAGTAGTGAAAAACAGATAGAGATAGCTATTTACAAATCGAGATACATCGCCATCAGTAGAACCAAACCCCAGTTAGAGTAACTGCGTCAAGGTACGCCATAGTTACACCCCTTTCGACGTCTGCGCCCTCCCGGTTGGGTGAGACATCGATTTAGAAGGACCAAGTTAGCCGAGGATCGTCGACCGTCGGTCTGTTAGAAGGTAGTTGTACGAGGGGCGTGACACATACTATGAGCTGAGCATTGGATCTTTCAGCACAAGAGCTTAGTGCGCGTCACCCTTTAGGCGTATGCATTACAAATGGTTGGAAGATGTTTTTGATCCCTACACGAGGGACATTGCTCAAGGTTGACGTCGCCTGCTATTCCTTGATGGTGCAGAACCACACACCAAAGTCAACTTCCTAGAAGCCTGTTGGGCTCGCAACATCATCTGTATCATCTTTCCCTCCAACATGACCGACAAATTCCAGCCACTTGATGTCACGCCTGCGGGTAGACTGCGGTAGCAAAGGACTGCCTTGAGAACTGAGGGGTTTAGTCTCTGGCTCGTGGACCTTGGTGACTGCCTTGGATACTGAGGGTTCAAGAGGCTGGGTTAGAACCAACTGAGTGACTTATCAAACGAGGGGAAGGGAATTGAAAAGATACATTGCTGAAGAAGAGAACTACAGTACTAGATAGGGTTTAAATACTAAAATCAGCCTTTTCCAAGAGGCTCGTGCAGACCTGCGGAATACGAGCGCTCTGAACCGTCCTGCACTGTCCTGCATGCATTGCCATGCATCCCACCGATTACCACTGATATCCTATGATGCCATATCTGCGTTTACCTACATCCTACTATGACATCCTACGTGATGCGCTGTGAGTCGGTGACTTTGTCAAAGGTGGTCCATGAGGAACTATGCAGAACATAGAAGAGCTGCGAGAACAAGAGACTCAGAGATTATGCCTTACAAGGCATCAGAACAGAGGAAAGAGAAACTAGAGAAGTACTTAGAGCTTATGCCTGTCAGGCATGAGAGCACAGGAAAGATAGTCTTGGAGTTTATGCCTGATAGGCTTGAGAGCAGAGGAAGATATGAGAGTGGAGGTTTGAACTTGTGATTATGACAAGTCATTATTTGATAGTGTCATTCATGACACTTGATGTTGATTTCTTCAACATCTTGAAAGCACATTACTTCAAACGTCTCAGCAAGTATCAGTTTGGTGCATCGGACTCAAGTGCAGCTAAGGGTATGTTTTGGGGATGGCATCAGCAGGCCTGGTGAGAGACTGCGACATCTCGACAGATGAGGGGAGCATGGAGGAAGGCAGGGTTGTGGCCATCAGACCGGAATGTGATGGGTGTGCAGGATGATGAAGTTTTGAAGACTCCACCTCCCCAAGACTTGGCGGAAGATCCTCTCACCCCTCACACTATTCACATCCTTCAAGCAAATAATCGTGGAATGTGTCGTGGTGAGATCAATAAAGACAAGGCAATTGAGAAACTGGAGAAGAAATGTGAGCAGTTGATGGCTGTCACGCCCGTCGTACAACTACTTCCTAATAGACCGACGGTCGACGAACCTCGGCTAACTTGATCCTTCTAAATCGATGTCTCACCCAACCGGGAGGGCGCAGGCGTTGAAAGGGGTGTAACTACGGCGTACTTCGGCGTAGTTACTCTAACTGGGGTTTTGTTCTACTGATCGCAATGTATCTCGATTTGTAAATAGCTATCTCTATCTATCTTTCACTACTGACAACAATCAAGGATCGCTGAAGAACTTCAGCGATCTCCTCAGCTAATATTGTTTATTCCTCCTAGACGTTCATCCAACCCTCTCGCGCTTTGACGTACTTCAACGCACTTCCTCCAACTTCCCCGAGCCCCCGGCTATCCTCTTCCTCCTCCGATCTAACTCCGCCTAACGTCGCCGTAATTCTGCTCCCATTGTCCCTACCTAGCCTAACTCCTTCTAACTTCGCCGTACTTGGTCTCAGATGTCCTGAGTTACGTGTAGAGTAAAGAAGTTAAAGCGTGATGGGGGTTTTGATGGTCAAAGGAGGGTCATTGTTGGTGGAATAATGGAGGTGTCACGACGTAGTTCGTGACAATGGCAGAGATTGCTATGGTGAAACAGGAGCTTGCGGATGTGTATGCCGCCCAGGCATTAGACAGAGCGATGTCACAAGACCAACTGACCAGCATTGGGACGATATAACAGTGCCCTTCAGAGGCAGTGGTCTTAACCACTGTGCTAAAAGGCCTATTAACCGGCGGTTACTGCATACCGCCAATCGCTGGGTAAATACCCAACCCATAACTATCAACTCTAACCAAACTGACTTGTCACTTTGTGACAAGCGACTAGGGGTGGTAAGAAGAAGCAAAGATACGATGGAGGATTCTTTGACCCTCTGTACCAGGAAGAACATGCAGAGGAGCTGGAAGCTAGGAAGAATCAGGAGGAGGAGGCTAGGAAGAAAAGTGGCGGTGCACGGGTCATAAGACCAATCTAGGGGCCCAAAATCCCTCCCCTACTCCCACCCCTGGGCCGTTTAACTCTGTTTAAAAGTGTTTGTCATCAATGTGCATAGTTTTTGAGTGATACTCATTACTGGTGACCATAAAGGTACCGGATCTCATGTTTGAGACGGTGGAGTTGCCGAGAAAGTCGTGACAATGAGTACTCTATCCTAATTTGTTGAACTCGATGGAGTTGCCTCGAATTGTTGTTACCCCGTAAAACTTGGGCTCTTGGTATGATAAACATGGGGTAGGTAGATACATCATGTGTAGACAGGTTCTTGATAGGTTCATCAGAGTTAACTTCCCTCAGTATGTTAATGACGAGTCACAAGCTTTGAAGTTCGTACATTTGTGCTTTTAGTCTCTGCTCTGGTCGTTACAGAGCCCATATGTATGTGTTTCATTCAACCTAGATGAACCCACAAATTCTCACACTGACACCAATTCCTTCCCTTCTGTTATGACACTGCACAGAGGCAGGTCATATGTCACAAAGTGTGTGACAAGTCGAGCGAAAGTCGGGGAAGGGTATTTAACCAGCGATCGGCGGTAGGGTTAACCGCCGATTAATAGGCCTTTTCGTCGCAGTGGTTAAGATCACTGTTCCGTTGGGCACTGTTATATCGTGCATATGCTGGTCAGTATGTCTCGTGACAGATTAATCGGCGGTTGCGGGTAGGATCCTGGGTTCGACTCCCCGGACGGCGCCGGGGGTAACCCAGGCCCTACTTGGAAAACCTCCCTCTCGGAGTAAGTTTTCGGTCTATCGTACCCTTCCCAAGTGTGGGGTCCCCTTGTCGGGGCCCCAAAGCGGGGGCCCAAGAGAGTGCATAATGTCACAAAGTGTGTGACAAGTCGAGCGAAAGTCGGGGAAGGGTATTTAACCAGCGATCGGCGGTAGGGTTAACCGCCGATTAATAGGCCTTTTCGTCGCAGTGGTTAAGATCACTGTTCCGTTGGGCACTGTTATATCGTGCATATGCTGGTCAGTATGTCTCGTGACATCATACACAATGATGTGGCATTATTAGGATTAGTATCAGGGACTTTAGAACATGATGTGGCATTAGAGTGGCAAATGAGAGTCTAGGTTATCAATGTTTAACCACTGTTTAGGCTAAGCCTACACACTGGTCAACTTGGACATATCGGTGAACTTGGACACATTGGTCAACTTGGACACATTGGTCAACTTGGACACATTGGTCAACTTGGACACATTGGTCAACTTGGACACATTGGTCAACTTGGACACATTGGTCAACTTGGACACATTGGTCAACTTGGACACATTGGTCAACTTGGACACATTGGTTAGAATTATATACCGTAGGTCAGGCTAAGTGTCACGAACTACGTCGTGACACCTCCATTATTCCACCAACAATGACCCTCCTTTGACCATCAAAACCCCCATCACGCCTTAACCTCTTTACTCTACACGTAACTCAGGACATCTGAGACCAAGTACGGCGAAGTTAGACGGAGTTAGGCTAGGGAGGGACAATGGGAGCAGAAGTACGGCAAAGTTAGACGGAGTTAGGCTAGGTAGGGACAATGGGAGCAGAATTACGGCGACGTTAGGCGGAGTTAGTTGGAGGAGGAAGAGGATAGCCGGGGGCTCGGGGAAGTTGGACGAAGTGCGTTGAAGTACGTCAAAGCGCAAGAGGGTTGGATGAACGTCTAGGAGGAATAAACAATATTAGCTGAGAAGATCGCTGAAGTTCTTCAGCGATCCTTGATTGTTGTCAGTAGTGAAAGATGTATAGAGATAGCTATTTACAAATCGAGATACATCGCCATCAGTAGAACAAAACCCCAGCTAGAGTAACTACGCCGAAGGACGCCGTAGTTACACCCTTTTTGACGCCTGCACCCTCCCGGTTGGGTGAGACATCGATTTAGAAGGATCAAGTTAGCCGAGGTTCGTCGACCGTCGGTCTATTAGGAAGTAGTTGTTCGACGGGCGTGACACTAAGCCTGAACACTAGTCATTTAGAAAGTGGAGGCAAGGTGGAGGCGCAAGGGTATAAATACCCCTTCCGCGAGCCCTCTTCCTTGTCGATGAATTCTCAAAAGTTACACTTCTAAACTTCTCATTTTTCACAATCCTCTTTGCGCTTGCTACACTCGCGCACTTCGTCTAAGTGACTTCCAATACAACTCTTCCTCAGCACTGAGGTGCTCTTCATCATCATTGTCCAATCCACTCTACGCTATCACTTCGCCCTTCATCGTCGTTGTCCTCTGAAGTTAGGTTCTGGTCACTGCCTAGCTCTCGGGTCGTGACACCTTCCCCCTGTGCACACTTTCCTTAAATCATGTCCATCTCCAGTTGCTGTCCTGATCTACTTCCTGGCCATCAGATGATCATTTCTGAATATTTTTTCATTGAACAACTTGGAGATGATGGAGAAGACTTACCTCTCCCAGGGCGGGGTGTCATGACCCTGCAACCTCAGTCGTGACATCAGGTTATAACCGGATTGCAATCATAGTGCTGATTGCAATATTGTGCCATTTTGTGCTGTGGCAACAAGATGTCACATGCATGGCCAGTGTATGGCCTGGTGCTGGTCAGCCAGGACGTCACACTGAGCCTCATTGGAGATTTCAATTAGGCCGAGCCCGCAGAATTGTATGTCTTACGAGGGATTTTCACACATTGCTGGACCTTGGTGGGGTCAACTCTATTGGACCGGTTTTCCTCTTTTGGGCCCAAGGCAACATTGTAGTCTTAGAAGAGACATCCTGGGGAGTCTTGAGGCTAGAAATCAACTTGCTCGGACCAGGGGTAGTGTTTCTAGCCAGTTCTTTGGGGTACAAGTGAAATAGCCTCCAAGCGGCTGGAGGACCTTGAACCATGTCAAAATACCTTCTCTTTGGCTGTACTGTCTTTTTGGCCAGGGAACTTGTCATCCACATCATCAAACACAGGCTGGTCGTCAGCATTTGCCAAAGCAACAAGGAATCAGAGGCCTAAAGAGACGGACCTGGTTGGAAAAATCTCAGAAATCATATGACTGTTGATCCTCAAGAGACGGATCACCTTCACAGTGATGTTCGTGACTCAAAAGACTAGGGTAGGATACATCACAGATACCACAAGAGATAGAGGGTGAGATAACCTCCATGATAGGAACCAGGCTTGGATGATCTGAGTCTACACTCACAGACCAAATGTTAATTAATTTCACGGGTTTTCCCTTCAGTCTCAAGACTATGCTGTCACAATACCAACTAACCAGCATTGTGACAATATAACAGTGCCCTTCAGGGACAGCGGCCTAAACCACTGTGCTAAAAGGCATATTAACCGGCAGTTAATCGTAGTGTTACGGGGTAACAACAAATCGAGAGAACTCTATCGAGTTCAACGGATTAGGATAGAGGAAAGCGGGAGTTGGAGGCAGTACTGCAGTAGGTAGGGACGGGTTTTCCCCTTTTCAAGATTTCCCCACTGGGTTTGCTCAAAAGCGGTTTTCACCTGTCCGAGTATGTACGTAGACGCTTGCAGCAGGAAGAGGACGAGGACAAGGATACCCGTAGACAGTATATAGTACAATCAGCAAAGTACCAACTTTGCTGATTCTTCAATATCATTCTTGTCACGAAGTGACAAGACAGTTTGATAGTGATAGTAATAGGATGGGTTGGGTATTTAACCAGCGACCGGCGGTATGCAGTAACCGCCGGTTAATAGGCCTTTTAGCGCAATGGTTTAGACCACTGTCTCTGAAGGGCACTGTTATATCGTCCCAATGCTGGTTAGTTGGTCTCGTGACAGATTAACCGGCGGTTACGGGTAGGATCCTGGGTTCGACTCCCAGGGTGGGCTGGGTCGTGCTCAGTCCCTACTTGGAAAACCTCCCTCTCGGAGAAAGTTTTCGGCCTATCGTGCCCATCCCTGTTGGGGCCCCAGATGGGGCTGAAAGGGAAGGCATAATGTCACGAAGTGACAAGACAGTTTGATAGTGATAGTAATAGGATGGGTTGGGTATTTAACCAGCGACCGGCGGTATGCAGTAACCGCCGGTTAATAGGCCTTTTAGCGCAATGGTTTAGACCACTGTCTCTGAAGGGCACTGTTATATCGTCCCAATGCTGGTTAGTTGGTCTCGTGACAATTCTTTAGCTACATCGATTGCAGAGGAGACACGATCCATTAGCACCAGAGACACCTAGATTTCTACGAGACTTCCATCGAGTTTGACCCAACCTGCGACTTAGTCGTCGTGTTTCCAGTACCGTTACACGTAAACGCCGGTTAATAGGCCTTTTAGCACAGTGGTTTAGACCACCGCCTCTGAAGGGCACTGTTATATCGTCCCAATGCTGGTTAGTTGGTCTCGTGACAGATCTACTGGGGTGGTGTCATGAATCACACCATCACGTGTTCCTTGTTGCGCAAAACAAGTTCAACCTCCACTTTTGTGTCTTAATATTTCACCTCTGCTCTCATGCCTATCAGGCATAAACTCCAAGTATCATTTTAGTATGTCGGTGCTTAGCTCCCATGCCTGCAAGGCATAAGTCCCCAGTAATTCTCTAGTCTCTAGTCCCTCTGTTCTAATGCCTGCTAAGGCATAGTCTCTCAGTCTCTTGTTCTTGCAGCACTTCTATGTTCTGCATAGTTCCTCATCGACTACCTTCGACAAAGTCAAGCAACTTCTGGCGCATCCCATAGTGTAGTGAACCTGGCTGTCCCCTACATGAGGAGTAGTCCATAGTTCCCTTCCTCTCCCTTCTTCTTATCACCCATCTGATACTTATTGTAGTTCCTCCCTAGCAAGAACCCTATTCCTCCTATTCTCTTTCCGTAGACAAGTTGTCCCTCTCCTTAGAGGACTTCTAACCCGTAATAATCCCCGTACCGTAAAATATGGCGTAGCTGTTCCGTACTACGGAACCCCAATCATGTATATAAGCTGGGTCTGAGGGGGATCTCTTCCTCCATTGTCTTTCTTCTCCCATCCTCTTTCTTCATTGTCTTTCTTCTCCCATCCTCTTTCTTCATTGTCTTTCTTCTCACTTCTTCTTTTCCCTCCTTCTTCTCCTCCTTTTTCCTCCATCCTCTCTCAGACCCTCTTTAGTTTCCTTGATACACTCTTTACTGACCATTACTGACCTTTGATCCATCGTTGACTAGTATTATCCACATCACAGAGTTCCGACAGTATCCAGCCCTACGGGTAGGTTACATTTATTTATTTGTGGTGATCCTCACAAGCAGGATCATTACACGTAGGATGTCATAGTAGGACATAGGTAAACGCAGATATGGCATCGTAGGATATCAGTGGTTATCGATGGGATGCAAGGCAGTGCATGCAGGACAGTGCAGGACGGTTCAGGACGCTCGTATTCCGCAGGTCAGCCTCTTGGAAAAGGCTGATTTGTCTATATAAACCCTATCTTATACTTTGTAGTCTTCTTTAGTTCTTGATCAAAAGTCATTTCCATTGCCACCCTTTTGGAGTCCAGTCCAGTCCAGCTTCCTCTAACCTTATAAAACAAGCCAGAGACATTCCTTGGGTCACAGTCCCATTCCTTGTTGGACTCAGTCTTGTTATCTTAAGTATATTCCTTGTCACTCCTAGTCCTTGTCCCCTTGTCCTTTGTCCTCTGTCCCAGGGTGGGCAGTATCCTTGACAGGTGGGTTTGCTTACTTACCTGATCAATTTCCACGTCCCGGATCTCCACATCTCATTTTCCCCTCCGGCCTCCGGCTGGATGTCATCCTGGCTGTTTCTGTGAATCTGTGTGATTGTACTTGTTAGCATGTCACAATATGGTCAAGAGGCTTCAGGTTTTGCCTTCTCAGAAGGCTATATAGATCCGGAATGGAAAGCACATCTGAGAACTTTGATTTTAGGTGGTAGCCCTCAAAGGTTTACTCACTGTGTGTGGATATTCCGAGTACTCGACATCAGAGAAATTCTGGCATAGCGCACAGCAAGTTTTATAAGCAGTCAAGGTGTATGAGAGACGGGGGTGGTATAAAGTATGAAGTGGGAACTCGACTCTGGGATTTTCATCTGGGACTTCCCTTCCATGGTACCCCGGAACTTTACAAAGTACCATCCGCCCGTGATAGTTCACTTCCCGCTATCTCCACCAGTTGTAATACGCGGCGAACGATTGATAATTCACTGTCTACAATGTAGAGAGGCAAAAGGAAAAGAAGAATATGCATATCATAGAGAGCAACTCCTTATATCCACAACTGAGTCCTCCAGAGGAATCAGGGGTAAGGGATCACAGGAACGGGTACGGCTACAGTCCAGTAGGGCTGGGGTCGTGAGACTGGTATATCGTGTCTCGAGCTTATCGCAGTGCATTATCAGACTGCTACTTCTTTAGCCCCCAATATGACTGGTACATGCGTAGAACGCATCCACAAGGGATCGACCGGTGATACACCGTGAGCAATCAAGGTTTGAACATTGAGCGGGTACTCACGAGAAACCGACCGACCTCACACAGCTTTTCTTCTTCAACCTTCTCTCCACTCTCTCCACTTTTTCAAGTGATGCAATCCTGGTGACCCGACTACTCTAAAGATAAGCGGCGCTTGGCAAGATGAATTATCACAGGGATCATCAACACGAGGTTAGTCTTCTTCTTGTGCGGATCAAGCTCTCAGCTGACGTCGGCCCCTTCTGCCTACTCGACACCCCCACCGTCATCCCTTTTCCAGGATGATGATCATTCAAGTGTAGATGATTCCATACATCCCGACGATGACAAAGGTAAATCTACGTGAGTTTATTGCCTCACAGTTCCAGGGAACGTTTCACTGATCAGCAGCGCGACTAGGAAAGCTCAGAATCGAGTGGCCCAGAGAGAATTTAGGCTTCGTAAGCAGGTCAGTCTCCTGCATATTCTCGAGAGAACGAGCTGACAGTCTAGCAATATGTACGTCCCTTGAAGGACTACTGCTCACCAGTTGGTAGAAGCTGATTGACAAGATACGAGATCTAGAAGCGAGAGTGGAGGTCCTGTCTGGAGATAAAGAAGAAAGGGTGGAATTGATGGTTTTGCTCATAAGGAATCTGTTGAAGGAAAACAAAGATCTGAGAGATATGGTGAAATCTATGGCTTCATTTGTGGGAGAAGGTATGTCTACGCTCATCAATCAACGACCTGAGGTCATTATCAAACATCTGAGAAACCCATCTCTGCATGACAATCACTCTGCTTTATCACGTCCGGCGACCCATCTGGTCATGAGGCAGCTCAACTGACACCGCAGGTCTAGGATCCTGCCTACCTCGTCTTGGTCTCACTCATCCACAACTCGACGCCATACTCAATCGTGCCGATACCGATACAGCCTACGAAGCTTTCCTCGCTCTCAAAGCTTCTCGCGAAGTATCCGAAGCTAACCCTGGTATAGAACTGGGTGGAATTCGCCGAAGAGCTCCTTCCGCAGGGTCGAAACGAAAACGATATCCTTCCGATCATCCACAGACAGATAGCGCAGATCGATCTCATACTCCTGAAGATACAATACCTCCTGAACCTACAACTGGACCTATTGCTTCTTCCAGCACATCCGGTCATAATGCTCCTCCACTAAACAACGAGTTTATCAACGGACTAACCAGATCCGCAAAGACACAAAGAACAGAAGAGGTGTCATCTGAACCTTATGCCTATCTGTTCCCTGATCTTGACGCTTTCGCGAGTTTAGACTCTAGCAACCGAACACCTCGAACGGGTCCGGAGAGCACATGGTCTGATATCCCCAATCAAAACTCTCAGAACGCTTGGAACTTGATGGGATACCCCAATCGAGGTCAGTTGAATATGCTCGGGAATTGGTATGACGGTCTAAGACCTGGATTGTTTCCTCCCACCATCGCTGGAAGTGGGATAGGAATGGGAACTATAGGTGCCCCCGCGGGTGATTTCGAAACCTTCGGTATCTCTTCATCCAACTACGAACAAAATGGTGATTTTTCCTCCACCCAAACTCCTCAGGCATCAGCCGGTCCTTCCGTCATAGCTGGGAACACATCCATGCGAAAGGGAACAACGGGGATCCCGGACTCTGTTGGGAGATCTGAGGAAGTCACTATGAACACTAACGATGCAAAAAGGGAGAACGAAGTTACACTACGAGAAGCAGTGAGAAAGCTGGCTTCTGATTTCGGAACGGGTACGGCGGACGGACCGGTTTTGAGTCACGAAGAAATGTTACGACGCCGTAAGGCAGTTGACGAGGTTTTGACGTCGTTGCAGAAGGGCAATAGTAGTAATCGAATGGTAGAAGCCATGTTGGTGGGTTTAGTCTACAAATCTTGTCTTTCTTTTTTCTCTTGTGTCGTTTCCCGACTGCCTTTCTCCCCTGTCCTCGAGGGAACGCTGTTCGGAAAGCTTACGGAAAGCTCATATCATATCATATTGCCAAGTGAGTGTTTGCTCGGGTCTAATAACAATATTGAGATATTGACTGGATGCAGTTTCAGAGTAAACCATTCATACCATCTTCCACCATCATTACAGCCTACTGTTGTACAACGTACAGTAGCTCATGAACACTTTATTGACGGAATCATCTTTCCTTCTATTAGAGATCGGATGATTTTGCTCAGAGGAAGATATGATATGGTTGAGGCTTTTTATAGTATACTTTCCCAAGTGAGTTCGACTCTTTTATCTTTTCTCGACTATATCCATCATCTCTAGTTGTCTCTCTCCATACTTTTCATAGAGGTTGGTCCTCACCTTACCGTTTCTCCTCACAACACAGATAGACAGTGGACTAGACATCTAGTTTAAAATTTCAACAAAGTCACCCTTGGAGAGGACAATGCTGACAATCAGTTCGTTCTACATGGCCAAGATCCATTAGATCATCGGAATTGGGAAATCTCGGAGAAATTCTTGAATGATTTCCCGTACGTCGTCCATCTTTCCATCTGACAACAACCAATATCGTCATGTGTAATGACTGAAGTACAGAATGCTTGTAGATGATGAAGTGTACGAAATCACAAACCGGTGGCGACAAGCAAACGGACTCGGCCCGCTTATTCTTCCTGATCGTCCCGTCGGACACGGTCAGCCAGCGATCCCAGCGATTAGATGAGTTTGTCAAACCGGCGAGCACCTGTCCACATGTAATTATTCGACTTACGTGTGTTAGACTAGTCATTGTGTACTTTATGTCATGTGATGGATGCATAAGACACTGCAGCATGTCATTTTCTTAGCGGATCGAAAAAAGTTTTCGTAGAAACTGACTACCATGATGCATGCAACTAAAAAAATACTAAGTCGTTTCAAAAGTCCTTTCCTCTCTCTCATGGCATGTTCACAACAGGAGTACAAAGTACAAACATGACACTACCTCCTCCAATGGTGCTCAACCTGAATATCCTCCCCCAAACCACCCAACACCTCCGACTTTCCCTAGCCCAGTGACACCTAGAACGGATTCCTCCCCATGTTGCCGCTTGACATTTGATACCTCCTCACCACTACCTACATTCGTTCCCGTTTCTACATATCCATGAATTTCCTCCTCGGCATCCGGTGAGGGGAGAATGAGTTCTGGAATGATTGCGGAATTGATAGCGGATAGTGGGGTGAGACATTCGGATTCAGTACTAGAGCTTGAGGAAAGGGAATGAGACATGACAGGAATATCAGATTCATCTTGTTCCGTTTCGTCCCTTGTTCGATGGAGGACTGGTAATCCGTCAAGATCGTCGTACCAAGGTATGTTATCAGGGTTTACGTTGGCGAGGATGGACAAAAATTCTGGATCGAGTTGACAATCGATACAATTAGGATCTTGACATTGACAATCGACGGTGGACGTGGAAAGTGTAGTGGATGTAGGTGACGGATCGAATGCTTCTGGTAGGGAATTGAGGTGTTCGAGTAGTAGTGATTCGTCTACATCCTCCCTGTCAATCATATCATCCACAACTTCATTCATATAAACCCAAATACTATCTGTATGTGGACTTGACAAGGGATTGTGAGTGGTTGGAGGGGAAACGGATGATGGCGAAGGTGTAGAAGGTATAAAAGGTTGTGGATCCTGTTGAAAGTCGACATTATTCGTAGATTTGACTTTGACCATTTGTGAATTCACTCCTGTAAATCCCATCCCAGATTGTGTCATAGTATTCAAGAAATGATCAAACCAAGTTTCTTCTTCATCATCTCGTATCCCTAATGCCTCCTGTACTGACGGAAGCTGAGTGAGAGAAGGACGTAGAGCAGGTAGTGACATGTCGGGCAAAGGAGGTGAAAAGATTATGGTGTTCCATGCAGTTCTGACTGCTGCTCTGACCAAAAGACGTTTCCTAAGTGCATCACGGACCTCTTTGCTAACGGCAGCATCAATGACGTTCAACTTCCTGTCTGACATCCCTAGAAAACGGACGTCCAAAGAGGTGTCGGCATGTGTAGAGTCGGGACTGGATGTCATCGTTTGAGTATCTTTAGAGTTCATTATGATGGGATGATAATACTGAAGTACTGATACTGAAGTACTGATACTGGAAGATGATGGAAGAGGAGAGGATATGAAGAGGATGATGATCTTCTGGTTGTTATTGACGATTGAGGATTACGTGTCGTTCGTTATGTTCGGTGAAGAGGGAGGGATTTGAAAACGTGTTAGGGTAGATGATGATGATTGTGATACAGGAGTAAAGGTAATTTGATTGGATAGATCGATGTTGAAAGCTATCGTTGGTGGTGATAGTGTTGATGATGGGATAAAGACAAATTGCATGTTGTTGTTGGTGGCGATAAAGAGTTGGTTTACGAGGGGGGTGAATCAAACGATTAGACAAGATTTATTCAGGTAGACATGAGAAAAGTATGTTTGGATTGATGGGATATAGTTTGATAGATGTTGCGATGAAGAAAAAGATGAATAGATAATGAAAGGATTTATATATGTAAAAAATGTAAAATGTTGGATCCGAGTCGAAAGTGAGTAAAAGTAAACTTGACGTGACAGATCGTAATCGCTGTGCTCGATCACTGATCGACAACGGCATCGGCCGTAATTCACGTTATCTCATAAGGCGCTCTACTTTATCATCGGACCTGATGTCCGAAATTCCGACGCCGCTGATCAGCACGTCTTCACGGTACCTGTTGACGACATTGGCCACCTCGACAAATTTGCTTACATCATCCCGTGACATCTGACTGTTTGTGAACATGTGACACGAGATGACATACAACGGCCAAGACGCAAATAGCAACTCTCCTCATGCAGCTATACGCTGCTCCTTGCTCGTGCTATGACTACACATCCAAACGATGTCACGATGAAAATCGCCGTACTTCGGTCCCTGGGTAACATGTCATTTCTTGATGCAGTGAACACAGAAAGTGGTAAGACAACGATACATCAAATGTACAAGAATGTACGACAACAGGATACAATATACAACCTTGGTGCAACTCTACTCCAGCAAATCCCGGCCAGCGGGTTTGCAACGACCAACCAAAACTAATCCGAACACAAAGCACACAATATTCTAACTGTTCTACAAGTCTACCTCTCCATTCCTCACTAGGTCCTTCCTCTACTTCAACAAGATCCCAGTATTTCATACTTGTTTAGGAGGATTATCAGCCATCCACTTATCCATCCTCTCTTCTTCAGCTTTTTGTTCTTTTAGATATTTAGCTGTTTCGCTCAACGGACGTCGACGTATTGGCTTACTTCCAGATGCTCCTGCTCGGGGTCTGACCGGGGTGACGGGTGCTCGAAGGGGGGCAGTAGGAGTTTGAGGAGCTGGCATTGTCTGAGCTTGGGATGTATGTCCTTGAGTATTTGAAAAGAAAGTGGTGGGGATGAACTCTTGGGGAACAACCTCGGGGTTGATATTGATGATGCAACTGTAAAGAGGGATACTTGGGATCGTTTCATTTCGTTCGGTTTCGTTCAGGTTGCGTGGTTGGTATTCAGGAGGAGTTTGGACTCCATTGACCGTCGACTCATTTTGGTGGGGTATGGGTTCTTCCATGTTTGGTGAGGTTGGAGTCCAGGGGATGGCGAACGGATACTTGTAGGTAGCTCGAGGGGTAGTCTCGACGGATTCTTGAGTCGTCAAGGACTGTGTCGGATGAGCAAACTTGTTGTTCAATGTCTCGGGGGCGTTCTCTCTATCTAACAAAGGAATCATCCGTTGAGTGCTTTCCCACATCATATCTGCGTCGACTCCAGAATTCAGGGATGCGAAGAAATTGTTGGACCCCGTTGGCGGTGTCATATGGTTGATAAACGTAGCTGGCAGTGTCATGTGGTTGAAACTAGCGGTAAAAGGTGTGACTTCTTCGTCCAATACCATTGAAAGTGTGGTATCCTCCGTGAGAGCGGTCGGGGTGGTATTACTGTCAACACATTCCATCGGTTCAGAAGTCGATGGGTTATGGAAAGGAAATGATTGTGTTTGGAAAGACTAATTTTGGTCAGAAAGAAGCATAGTAGTTGATGGAAATACTCACCTGCTCATATGTCATCTCCGTGTCTTCACGCATGGTGTCACTGACTTGTCCCATATCGATAGAATCGATATTCATTGAATAGTCATTTGTCAAGGTGGCCAAACACTCTGCGAGTCCAGAGAGTTCTAGGGCATTCCAGATAAAAGCAGAATCTTCCGTCTCCATCATAACGTCTTCCGAGTCGGAAGAAGGAACTTCATTGGCTTCTCCCATTTCCCAATCGGGACTTGTATTGTCAGCGGTGTTCCAGGATCGCTGAGGTCCCGATAGGCAGAAGGGATCGTCCACTGATTGAAAAAGAAGAGTTGGAGCTGGTGGAGTTCGAAGTTGAGAATCGGGTGGAGATTGAGGGAGGTAAAAGGCAGATGCGGGGATTGTCCGTGGTACTTGGGAGACGTTATAAGTTTCGTTGTCAACGACTACTTGAGGTGGGCTGATTGGATTTGTGACCGTATTATAACCTGGGTAATCCTATAACGTCAGTCGTCAAAAGTCATACAAAAGAGAGTATTACTTACAGGTTGATCAACATCCATAGGTTCTTGACAAACTGATGAGATTCGAGGACTAAACACCGGTCGTTGCAACTTAGGGGATATCTTTGATTTGAGTTTCGAGTTTCTAGGAGCCGGATTCTGAGGTGGACTTGAAGGACGGGAGAAGCTGACTTTGCGTATGGTATGTTCTTCCAGCGAGTTACACCTTTTTCGACATTGGACCAAAGGTGCCAAATCGTGATCATTTGTTGACAGCTGGATGGGAAGAGAGGTATCGGGGAAAGGGGGTGTCACGATGATCGACGGTGTGATCATTGGTAGGCTTTGTGTGACCTTGGGCAAAGGGTGCGAAGGAGTTCGCTTGGGAGTTGATACTAGAGAGGACCGATGATTGAATATGGGTCGAGAGATATAAGAGCAGGGAGCGTCATGTTGTTTTTCCCATTTGCTGGCCAGTAACGATGCCACTTTAGGAGAATGCGATGGGCGTTGGGAAATTACAGGAGGTTCCGGTTGGGGGTTATTAACTTGAAGTCCGACGTAGGTGCGATAAGGATCTTCAGATTGTAGACATGTTTCGAGATACGTCGTGACTGATAATCCTGGAGGGAGGAACCATGCTGATGGTTGAGCTTCTTGGCAGGGAGCTGGATGGAAGGGTTGAGGTTGAGGGAGGAGATGATTAGGGAAGAAAGTGGGGTCAAAGACCAACAGAGGATCACGAGGACCGATGGGGTTGGCAATGTAAAGTTGAATGGCCTATTGGTCAGATTCATCGTTCTGTCTGAATTACACCTGGACACCAGGTAGAAATGGACGGACATCGGAAAGTATCGTCATGGGAGACTGATAGACAAGGAGTTTCTGTGTAAAGTTCAGTATGTAGGGGAAAAGGTGATTACTCACTTGTAAAACTCCGTCCGCTTCGTAAGGATTCAAACCTTCCATGAACAAATGCCAATAAACTCCGTCAAAACCAGGCATGAATGGCAAAACGTCATTCTCCGCTTCTTTCTTGACCAACTCTTTCCACATCCATGTCCAGATCGAAGGAAAACAAGATAACACGCACAAGCTGGTCATACCTATATTCCGAGTCCAAAGAACGACCCAGAAAATAGTTTCAAAGGGGATACTTGAGCGGACATCTTGGATCATACGAAGTATTTGGGTAGGTAGAGTGGAGAAGAAGTTGATGATCGTATTGAAGATGTTGAGGGCGGATATCAGGAGCATATTGGCAAAATGGACCATACCGATATAAGAATAGATGGTAAGGGATATGATTACCAACACAAAGGAAAGTTTGGGCAGACCAGCTGCTACGCGATCGATGAAGGGTTCAAAGTCTGAGTCCATCCTGCAGAGGTATTTCGGACTTGAGATTTGCAGTCACTGATTTGGGTTGAGATTCGGATAGTGTTGTCCGACTTGAGGCAATCTTGGTTAGGGATGATGTTTATTTGATACAAGCTCACGGTAGTTTGACTTGAGTCGAGGTTGCGTTCACCTTGAAGTCCAGGTCGGAAAGTTATAGCGGAGTTGATTTCGAAGCGCCGAAAGTTCGAATTCGATTATTCAAGACACGAACACTACGACAAGAAATGATGAAGCAATAACTCACTTACAGAACTCATATATCACAAAAAAAGACAACACATGAAGTCACCAAGTGTATCGAATGGCGGGAAATGTCATACTTCGTATAAGACCAAGTCTAGCCCGATAAAGCTTCTAAGAACGCAAGATGAAAAGCTAGAATTAGAAGTTTGGTCAACACCAAATCTGGTAAGTGTAACTAATTAGTCAACTGGTTGGCTCTCGACTATTGACCATAGTCCAAAAGTCTGGAATGCACAGCTTTCGTAAATGCCGATACACACGTGTTAGTCTTCAATCTGGGATGACGAGAATTTTGAAGTTGTTACGTTCGAAAACTCGAAAAAACGGACTATCAGATGTCGGGATGTCAGACTGTCGGATTGGGAAGTTTTTGGAATGACTTCTTTCCGTCGAATACGGATCACGACAAGGTAATCACTTGCCCCATGCCGCGTTTTCTTCGCCGATGACGCACGGGTGGTTGTTTGACTTCTCACAGACTTGATGCACGTCATAGAAAATGAGTTGCCAACGTCTTGCGATCTTGGGCGACATCAGAGGTTGAAGAAGAGAACAGAGATCATGCAGATGGTCGGACTACTACTGACGTCAGCCAGGACAACAAAGCAATCGAGGAAATATGAAAATAATGCATACGGGTTCTCCTGCACAGCTATGAGAACAACTTGCTTTCTCTCTTTCGACGATCGGCAACGGAGCCGTCATGCAGGTCTCGGCATTCCAACACGCGCATGGCCAGCTGGTACGTGACCGTGGAAGACGGACTACTGCGTACGAATCAGCCCCACAATTTCTGAGAGGTGTGACGTTTGACAGCCATGCTTCACCAATTGAATGGTCGGCAAAGGACCTCGGATCAAAGTGGTCGATTTGTGATGCAAATATTTGATATTGCGGCTCCGTCCATCATTTGGGTCTTTGCAAAAGTACGACTTTACTCTCCGTTGGTGGTTCGTCCAGATGCTCGTAGGGTTTTCTATGCAATTGACCTCCCCACGGTCGTTCGACCCAAGTCGGAAATGCTGGTGGTGGTCGTGGACGGGAATGGTGACCGTTGGTATGCGCATGACCTCGATGCAGATGTCCCGAGTGACCCATATCCGGCTGATGCATGACCTCTCGTGAGGGCGGAGGCGGAGGGTGAGAGAAGACAGGAGGAGGTCGATGCGAAGGACCGAAAGGAGAAGAAGGGAGGCGGGGCGATAGACCAGTAGGTCTGGCAAGAATCCGAGGACCCGGTGGGGTGAGAGGTCGATGGTTCGGCGGTGGAGGGGGTGGGCGAGTGGCACCTTCAGGTCGTTGAAGAAGCTCAAATTGAGGACTGCGTCGACCATCTTTCTTATCTTTACCCCTTCCTCTCGTGCGTCCCCCTCGACGTCCACCCCGACGATTACCTCTGCGCTCTTCAGTGTCGAGCTCGGAAGACGGTTTTCCTGATTCTTTCGGCTCCTTGTCTAGACGCTCTGGCTGAGCGCGGGGCGGAGGCACTGGCGAAATGGGTAAGAAATCAGGGGTTCGAGAGGGATCAGGAGTAGCATGGATGACTGGACTAGTCGCGGCTTCTATCTCCAGACCTGTCGGTAGCTGTGGGGATGATCCATGAGGAGATCCTTGTGACGCAGATACAGTGGTCGGAGCTCGTGGGTTGGCGGGAGCATCATCAGATGCTGGTCTTCGAAGAATCTTGTACTCTTTGGCAGGTTCGACATCTTCTTTCCTTCCTCGATGACCGCCAGACTGTGTACGTCCATGTCCACGTCCTCTCCCTCTTTCACCATCATATCCTCCTCTGCCCCTTCCTCTTCCATGCCATCGACCTCTGCCTCGTCCACGAGTATGAAAGCCTTCCTCGCTCTCGGTATCTCTCAAAACTTCAAGAACGACCTCAAACCTCTCTGCTTCTTGGGACAACGCATATCCTTCACCTCGTTCAACATACTTGATCTCGACCTCCATATCCAACTCCGCAGCTTCTACCGCCAGAGGTGGATTGGCGACGTACAACATTGGTCTGACTGCCTCAGCAGAATCACCATGCCTATTGACAGCAGACGCCAGTTCAACCCTGTCGATGTCATTGAAGTACGCCACACAGCCCATAACAGCCGCGATCCATTTTTCCAGAGGAGCGTCGGGAGGTAAGGGGAGCGGAGAGAGGGTTTGAGGATTGGCTGTCTCGCCTTCTCGTTGGATTCGAAGTCCTCGACCTTTCTTGTAATTGGTCCCTAGCTGAATCGTGAGACTCGGATCGGCGGAGATGTGCTTATGTTGACGAGTGGCATGTTCGATGTAGCGAGCCGCGGAGCGTGCAGCGACGGCACTGGCGGACATGCCTTTTTTCATGAGGTCTAGAGTACGGATACCTTGTATGTCAGAACACACATAGCATCAAATGAGCAAGCGACGATTTCCATCATTCGACGACGTGTCAAACGTAGGCGTGCGGTGAGGGGGAATCGAGAAGCATTAAGGCACATGGTAAAGATGAATGTCCAAGAGAGGAGACGAAGACGAGTGTATGATTTAAGCGAGAAGTATACGACTTACAATCAAGAGGAACGATCACCTCGTAACCCTTCGCCACCAACCTCCTAACCGATTTTAACGCCCACATCAAAGCAGAAGCATCTATCACTACCACTCTCCAATATTCTTCTTTTTGTCTTACCACATCTTCTTCCTCTTTGTTAAAACTATCACTTTCATCCTCATCGTCGTCGATCCTTCCCCAATTATCTTTCTCATACCGAGTCACACCTTCTTTCCGTAAGTGATCATGGTGTTGTAAATTGTCACCTATTCGACCTCCATTCAACATACCTCTTTGAGCTACGTCTCGATCGGCATCAAGACCCGAGGGTACATCTTGTTCTCCCAAAGAGGGACGATCGTTGGTGGTGAATAATGATTGTTGTTGAACACGCGATTCGAGCTCTGAGATTTGGTGGTTGAGATATGCGGCAGAAAGGGTCTTCTGTAACGCCGCTTGTTTAGCGGCCTGTTTACGATAAGCAGTCTCTCTAAAGCTGTCCACGCAAAACCTTTTATTCTCTATCATGTCAATGGCTCAATAGTGTTGAATGAATGAGTGAGTGATGTCTAGAAGGGTCTATGGGGACAGTCACCAACCTTGTCCTGCTCAAGCATGTCGAGCAGCGTCGCTAGGATGTCATCACGTTGAAACGCAATGACGGATCAATGTGACATTATTTCGAGTTGAAGCACTGTCAAGTGCAGTGAGAGAGAAAGCTGTGAATGTGTCGAATGAGAGTGATACAAGGCGATGTAAAGGTTTAGATGTGGACAAGAAACGGACTTGATGTAAGGTTAGGACAAAGGATGTTAGTTTGAGCGAGTTGGGACAAAGTCGGACGCTGACGTGGGTTTTTGTAGGTTTCAAGGGATTGATAAACGTTACTCTACTCGGTTGAAACACCTATGAAACTGAAATTGTTCAACCGCATCTAGCGCATCTTTGCATCTTTTCAATAATCGGAAGACTGCAGCCAAATAGCAAGATGAACAACCCTACCCGTGGTCTACTGTCAAGAACAAGCTGTTTCCTCAAACGTCATATCCCCCATGCGGGACCATCACGATTACAATTTCGTTTGGCATCTTCCGAAGTCGCAGTGTGTGAGTACTTTTCTCCCTCATCTCCTGATACCCTCATTTCAACATCATGACACCTATTCCCTCCAGTTTCTCCTCACCTTCACATGCTCAAACTCACCTACCACTTTCTCAAAGCAGGTAATTTACTGGCAAATGGACAAAAGAGCGATTAAAGAGAGTAACCCATCATGCGATTTTCAAATCTTCATATATTCGTCACCAAGAATAAGAGAGGTTTTCCTTGCATCAAATAAACACTAACTCTCTAGCCCATCCATTCTCTCAAACAGCCCTTATATCCCCATCTCCCCTTGCTCCACCATCTAACTTACTTCACCCTCCATCAGGCGCCTCACTAATCACTCATCTTTCTCGTAATTCAATCCCCACCTCCGTAGGTGGACTCGATCCAATCCTTTTCTCCCGTCGTCATCCACAACGTATAAAACCCGGTTCCGTAATCTCTGTCGTATCCCATACCACCCCAGCTCGAACCAATACCAACGTCTTCTCAGGTGTATTGATGGGAATCCGTCGTCGAGGTGTGGATACTAGTATAACGTTGAGGAATATCGTACAGAAAACAGGTGTTGAGATGACTTATAAGATTTTCAGTCCTTTGATCAAGGAGATTATCATTGTCAAAAGGGCCGATGGGAGTCTTGGAGGTTTGAGAGATTTACATAGGGCTAAATTGGGTTGGTTAAGGGAAAGACCGGCAATGATGAGTCAAATAGCGGCTGCTTTGAAGGCTGAAGCTGCTAAACCTGAGAATGATCCCAAGACGCGAGGCAGGAAGTGAAGAGAAGTTGTGGATCATTCATTCAGTCATAGCTGTAGACCGACTTTAGATTTAGTCTTCACTGCCGATTGATCTCAAGTGATGAAGCAGAGGGTGGTCGTATTAGGGGAGAGGGGTGTCGAAAGGGAGGAAACAAGGGGAAGGAAAGCTATGTGAATAAATAAGCGGTCTAGGAAGAAAGAACAAATGAAGTATTCCCATTTATGCACTGCATGTCCTACATCTATCAACTACCGATGCAGAGGGGGTATAAAATATCCGGGTCAAACGCAGAAGGTAGTGAATGGAAAGCATAACAATCTGGATGATGAATTTGCAAAGAATGCAAGTGCTGAAAATCCGTCCGCTAATTATTGCGTACCAATAAAAGTAATGGGAATTCTGAGAAAATTTCGTTTTCTAAAGACTAAACAGGCTTCACAATAGATACAATACACCACTTCGTCTTTTATTTCTTTTTATCATGGACGCTCATCAGAGGTCGTGGCTGGTGATCCTTCTAAACTTCGATGGTTCTGATATCAGTTATCGTGTCATATCTTTCACTTTAACTTCCTTACACTCCTACATGACACCTACCATCGAAGAACCGTTCCCACAGTGGAGTGAGACTGACAATGAGATCAACTCACCTGAAGATCTCTCATAACAGCTGGGTCGATAGGCAACACACTCTTTCTCCGCAGATGAGGACCTCCCGTTGGTGTCGGGCTGGCAGGACCGTTCGCATGAAGTGCCATTCCGACCGGAGAGGTAGGGGAAGGTCTGTCCATACCGGGGTCGGCGACAGGTACGATATCATCTGCCATACTACGATCCAAGGTGAAGCTCTCGCTGGCGTCGAAGCCATTAGCGGTGAGCTCTGCGGATAGATCTGGCATGTTGTCTTCCACGAAGTCTTCCGGTCGAGCAGGTAAGGGTTCGGTGAGGAAAGCTGGTATAGGTTCAGAGGGATGTGTGGATTTATGACTGGTGATTGCTTGTTCCCGAAGTTCAACCCATTCGTCATATCGTGCGACAGATTTTTCCCAATCCCTGCATGTCAGTGATGTTCAAGAAGGATATCCCGCTCCCCATGAGGCTCAATCCGCTCGCCGATTTTCGTGACGACAGGATGGAAGATGTGACCAGTATTCCGAAGAACAACACTCACAGTCTACGTTGTCGTTTATAGTTCGTTTGACATTGATCGAATACCTCAGGATTAATTTCCATGAACAACTTCAGAGCGTTGCAGACCATCCCGTGAATCGTTCTCATCATCAGCGTCCGGCAAATGGATTCAAAAAAAAGAAGCTCACCTGTTCCAGTGCGCTCTCGAAGTTTGATATAGGGCGGGAAATACTATAGGCAGAACAACAGTGATATGTTCACCCATGAGATTGACGATATACTCGTTGTTCCAATAATACAAAGCTCTTTCAGCCACCTGATACCGTCAGCGCCTGATCATCTTGGTCATATTCGATCAGCAGGACGATGATGATGAAGGTACCATCAAAGGAGAAGAGCATTTACCTGAAAATGTTGACTACTGATGCACTTCGCCAGCTGAGTGAACAGCGGTTGCATCACCTTGACAAACTCGACTTGTTCAATGACATCCAATATCTCCTCCACCTCGTTCAGGAACATGACCTCTTTTGGAGAATTGACCTTGGGCCAATATCGCAATAGTCCAAGCAACACATCTTCGGTGAGAGCGGCGTCCTTCTCTAAGAATTGCACCACGCAGTAAGCCAACTGAGGATGGTATAGCGCAAGACTTTTGGCCTTGTGGAGCGGGAGGAGTACGCGGGTGAGGAAAATTTTGTGTTCTTCCTTCAAAGGCAGGGCAAATCCGTTAATGATGGACCCAAGGATTTCGAGAAGCTCGGCGATACCATTATGTCGCTCTGTCTCGTAGACGAAGTGAAAGAAGACATGATTGATCGAGCGTCGAATGAAAGCTCGTAGATTGAGGAATTTACCATAAATCCGGTGTAAGGTAGTTTTTAGGAAATCTCGCTCTCTCGGGTCTTCTGAATCGAACAGATCCAATAACTGTAGACGATATCAGCTGACTGAGAGAAAATGTTGATGTCACTCACCTGCAAAACAAACCCTTGATCTATGTACCGTTTTCCGACGTTCGTGTTGAAGTCGGGACTCTCGACAAAGCGCAGGAAGAACTCGTATACAATTTGCAAATGTGGCCATGCCAGCTCAAGCACCGGTTCGTCCTCCTCGGGATCGAATGCATCCCCAGTGGGATTGACCTGCGGAGGAATTGATCTAAACAAATTTGTGGCAAACTGCGGTGGTCAGTGAAGCCGATAGATCGACATGATCAGGGAGACCCACCATGCCAATAACTTCAGGATAAATATTCTCGGTGATGACGCCCCTGTTCGAGGTGATGTATTCAAGCATCTCATGCAGTGTTTGGGCTTTGATCTGCTTGCCGTCTAAATCGCGACTGGCGTCGTTGAAGTCGAAAATCACTCTACATTGCTGAAGCTTCTGAACAAAAAGTTCGTTTCTATCCTCCGGCCGAACATCTGCTCGTGAGTTACAGGGCACTTGCCTCACAAGAAGTTTTGCTGACCTTGGAAATTTGGTAATTTCTCAATTTCCACATTGTCCGTCACATAGAATCTACTACTACGCTGTTTTCGAGGTGTCTTTCCGACAATTGGTATCGTATCCTTCGCTGCCCCCCTCAGTCTATTCAGAGGACCAGCGCGTGGAGGAGTGGGAGTTCCGTCCGGACCCAATTGTCGGTCTGGTGAACCGAGTCCTCGACCATGTGGCGAATGGGGAATAGGATCCGCTGGCATCTCCGTACCAACCGGTCCTTGGTTGGGAGCGGCAGATATGGAGATCATGGGAGGAGCTGGAGATGCTTTATCATTGATAGGAGATCGACGAGGTGTGAGAGGGTTCTGTTGACCTGCACCGAATGGGGAGGCGGTACGGTCTGTTGTCGGTGAATTGACAGCCGGAGAAGAAGGACCGGATGATGTGGTGTTGGGTATAGGTGGTTGTGGTTTGGAAGTGGATGGTTGAGGTGATTTTGATTTGGAATCATTGGACTTTGTCCGTGATAAGTTCTTTGAGAATTGTCAGCTGGTTCAATTTGAAAAGTGTTCTCCCGCGAAACCCTCCCGCGAGCCGTCATGAAAGGCAATCCACTGTTGGTGAAGTTTGTCCTCGCACGTTCTAAGTCTCTCCATCCTTTCTCTGCAGTTGTGGAGCCATTGACTTGAAATAACGAGGAGACAGTTGTCATTGGAAAAGCCCGAAAAAGCAAAACACTCACCATGGCTTTCTTGAAGCCCTTCATATTGAAAGACAAACTGAATCCCGCTATCGACCGCGCGTAGCTATAAGAATCCGTATAGCCTTCCTGATACTAGCTCCGGTGGTCGTGGGTTGATATACGAATTAAAAGTTTAAAAAGAGACGCGAAGGAAGAAGATGTTGGTCGCGACAGGGTCCAAGCGGTTCGTCGCAGATGGTTGTTGATCGTAAATCTCGCGCCGCCGCCCTCCACAATCGATCGTCTCAAATGGTGAAAAGTTATGATACAGTGGGAGATAATGAACCAGACGTGGTAATGTATATATGTGCGTGTTGACGCGGATTGAAAATCAAATCAAGTATAAGAGTTGGGTTGGATGTTGTATGAGAGGGGCCTGGTTTCAATAACGGGGAGGTGAGCGGGGGCAGGCGACGTGCATTAGGATCAATTTGCCACATGATAGATTCACTCTCGGAGTTTTAACAGTTCCGAGATCATCCCCCCATTTTAGCTTCCTCCTCTCTCACCTTTCCAGCGATCAGCGACTTTCCAGTTGAGGGTCGTCATCTCTCTCTTCCTATCAGGATGGTAGCTGTGAGTGATTCAACTTGCATATACAAGTTAACAGCTGACGTGGCTCCCTCTTCTTTGAACATTCTACCACAAATCCTAATCACATGATCCGTCAAACCTACACCTCAACACACCCTCCGCTTCCTTCCGTCCCCTCTTCTCCCACCCTCCATATCCGTCTATTTCACCCTTGAATCATGCCCCTCCTGACGTCTTCCAATACCTCCAATACCTTCCCGTCATTTCCACGCAAAATTGAATCGACAGCCAATATACAACACCTTCTTCAGGCGAAATTCCATTTTCGTGACTACCGTCTTTCTAGGCGCTTTCGGTTTCTCAATGGGATTCGACGTTTTGACATCGGCCTGGTGGGACGCTCATAACCGAGGAGTAAGTGACATATATCATTCTCCTCTTTCCGCGCTCTTCATAGCTTCTCATATGATGAGATCTTGTCACCTGTTCATGTCTTCTTCCTTGATCCAAGACATGTGGCGAGAAAAGTGTATGGCTGACTTCTGTTCAGAAACAATGGAAAGACATTCGGGACAAATACGTTCAAAAGGAGGAAGAATAAGCGTCGTGGGACGGTGTACTGAAAAGTGGTGGGATGGAGCGGATCACGGCGGTGGTCATTTGAGTCCGTGGCTCCGTGGGCATAGGAGGACCAATAGACGGGAACGGTCTATCCAACATGCATGGTTACCGACTTCTGGATGTCTGGCGTAGAGTCCTCTTCTTACTCTAGCTACTCGATCCTACTACCTCTGCGGTTGGGCCGTACCCTGTACCATGTCCGATTACTCGACCTACACGCCTCAACAAAAAGCGGTGGGTTTACAGTGTTCTGCTGGAATACAAAATTCAATCGGTGGCCATGGCCCCTTGACCCTCGAAGCCCTTTGACCCTTTGGCCATATAAATGTCGCGAGTGCATAGAATAGAGTGTGGTCTGCTTGGCGCAGTAGAATCCTACCAGCCCTTGTGTCACTCTTGAGCCTTGGTGTTCTTTAGTTATTGGTGGCCGTGGATGATATGGCAGCACGTGACGTGATAGCTATTCTCTCCTAGAGTCGCGTCCACTTTGGTCTCTGCATTCGACCTTGCTAGCATGGTCCTATTCTCCACACTGCCATGACGCTCTCTCCTTCCTTATAAGACTAAATCCCCTTCGACGACTCCTCTCCCCTCATTGAAGGCCATTATCTGCCAGCTGCTATCTGTTCCAGCTCATGCCTTCAGCTCGCAGCTTCTCTCGCCATCCCCTCCCTTCCTACTTCCTACTGCTCCTCCCTCTTCTGTATTCCCTCTGTCTTGCCGACCATCTCCCTCGGACCTTTCACACCCTCTCCGACACACATCTCAAACAAATTACCCAACTTTCCCCTCCTCAGTGGACCTCGGTGACTTCCGGTCATCTGGAACATCTCCTCATACCTCGACCGTGTAAGCCGTATACTGCTATGTTGTGACGAAGCTGACAATCAGCCGGATCCGAAAACAAGTGGGTTATTCCCTCAGTCGACAAACTGGTCTGTTCAGTAGCTGATGTGAAGTACCCTCGTTCAGCAATACATCTCCTCTGTGTTCTCTTCATTAGGATGGCAAGAAGATCAAGTGAGTCAATTGCAGCGATGTCTTTAGTAGGAGAAAGAAAGAGCTGAGGTTTAGACACCTTTCACAGATGATACGCCTATAGGACCTATCAAATTTAACAACCTCATCTATACTTTTGATCCTTCGGCACCACGTAAACTCGTCCTAGCAGCGCATTTCGATTCAAAGTATTTCCCCACCTATCCTGAGAATCAAGTGAGCATCTGTTTGTGGTCATGGCATCCCTATCATCCCTCCCTCTTCATCTATTGACAAATATGAACGAACTCATTCCCCAACATATGATTGTTTCCTATTCTCACTGTCCACTCTAGATCTATATACAGAACGTCCAGGTGGGAGAGTGGTTCAGACGATAATAATTTCCTTTTAGTGGTAATATGTACCGGACGACAAGCTGAAACGTTAGTTCATCGGAGCTACCGACTCTGCCGCACCTTGTGCTTTCCTTCTAGACCTAGCAGAAGCTCTCACTCCTCTTCTCAAAGAAAGACAACGACGGGTCACCTCTGGCCAAGCTATACTGCTCGATGGTTTAGACGAAGAAGAAGAAGCAGAAACGACTTTGCAGATTATTTTCTTTGATGGAGAGGAAGCTGTGAAAGATTGGACTGATACGGATTCTATCTATGGAGCACGGTAAATCATCATTTCTCACGTTATTCCTCTTCTTATTCAAATACTCTGTTATCTATTCCATGGCACCCTGCAAGTGTATCCTTCCTCATCATCATACATCATTTGTGTATGACACAAATCGGTTTATGTCACTACGTCAAGAGAAGATGGACAGATATACGGTATGAGCATAAGAGTGGAAAAAGTATAAAGCGTTGTGGAAGGTATCGACGGTTTAGCAGAGAGTATGATTCAATGACGGGTCGGGATGAAGAAAGAACAAACGAATGGGTATGCTGATACTTCAGTCATCTAGCAGAAACATGGGAAACAACTTTTCTTCCTGCCACTCATCCATTATCTAAACGTCGATACTCTCCAACACCCACAATACTCAATACCATCGACGTTCTCATCTTACTCGATCTATTAGGAGATTCTAACCCTCGCATACATTCATATTACAGAGATACAGATTGGCTCTTTACTCAAATGTCAGATGTGGATAAAAGATTACGTCAAGAAGGTTTGATAGATGTTGAAAAAGGTGAAGAAGGTTGGTTCGTTGATTTTAAAATGAGAAAAGGTATGATAGGTGATGATCATGCTCCTGTCAGTATACTTTTCTTTCCTTGGATACTTCTGATTCCTTTCACTTCTATTCTCCCAACAATACCTCTAATCTATCAATATACAGTATTCCGCTCTTCGGAGTCTAGCGAGTGTGAACATCTTGAAGTCCTCGTGAAACTTTCATATTGAATATTGCTCAGAGATTAGTTTCTCGAAAGAGGAGTAAGTATCTTACATGTTATTTCTAATCCTTTTCCTAAAGTCTGGCATAATCTAGCCGTGAGTTTCTTCCCGCTTACCCCGTTAGATATTGGATGAAGTGTCGGTTAGGAGCCCCGTTGATACGTAGGACGACGCATCTGCATTATCACTCCCAGCTATGAGAAGATGGAATCTTATCCTCCGTGTTTTCACAGCGGAATATCTAGGTCTTATACCCACAACCAATACACAATCCCATCGAAATGATCATGATCCATATTCAAGATCGGTCGATGAGCTGGTACGTTGATCTCTATCCAATGAAGGACTTGACTGATATGACACAAGCAGTGATTCTCTTATACTTTGCATTACACATACATAGCTCGAAACTCTCTCAAGAGACAAATTGTGTCATCATCAGCATATTTCCAACAAACAGACTCGAGTGCAATGCATAGAATAAAATCTATCTATCGACCTCCCCAAACACCAGATCCATGGTCCCGATAATGGCCACTGCATCAGGTAAGAAATGATGTCTCATCATAAAGTCTGATCCCGCCAAATGAGCGAATCCAGGTGCACGGATTTTGCATTTATACGGTCGGTTCGAACCGTCCGAGACGAGATACACTCCCATTTCTCCTTTGGGAGCTTCGATAGCCGAATAGGTTTCGCCGGGGGGAACGGAGTAACCTTCTGAGAAGATCTGACAATGAGCGATGTTCGAAATGTGGCTGACCATGATATGACAGGTAGCCGCATGAGAGTGATTCCGAGTGAAAGTGACGATGAGCCGGGTGTAGCAGGTTGAGATGGGATGATGGACTTGTAACAGTCGCTGACCACTCACCTTGAAATGATGAATCAAGGACTCCATACTCTCTTTCATCGACGCTCGGGGAGGAGGCACAATCTTATGATCGTCTACTTTAATCGCTCCAGTTGGCATCTTGTTGAGACATTGATCGATAATCCTCAAAGACTCTCGGAATTCCTGAACACGACAAAGATAACGATCGTAACAATCTCCATTCTTACCGACAGGAACATCAAATTCGACTTTGTCGTATGAGTCATAAGGGGCGACTTTTCTAATTGATCAGTACATATCGAAATACGTCGTATTTCCTTGGATCAATCACCCAAAACTGCATGGGATTTGCGCTCATGAGGAGGAATCAATGAGGAGAAAGAAAACACACCTTATGTCCCACGGGATACCAGAGCCACGCAACATGACACCAGAGAAAGAATAATCTAAAGCCTGTTGGGCGGTGACTTTTCCAATATCAATCGTCCTTCCTTTCCACACCCTATTACCAGTGACGACCTCTTCAATCTCATCTACTCTTGAACTGAACTGAGTTGCCCATTTGAAGATATCGTCTAATAATCCATGTGGAAGGTCAAAGGCTACACCACCAGGTCGGACATATGCAGCGTGCATTCTTGCTCCGGAAACACGTTCATAAAACTCCATCAGCTTTTCACGCTCTTCGAAACCCCAGAGGAAGGGAGTAAGAGCACCGACGTCCATTGCATGTCTTCAATGTCAGCTCTACAGACAGTCACATCAAAGAAGCCGAAGGACTACAGAGGAGTGGAAACAATGTATGGAAGGGTGTGACGAATGACTCACGTGAGAACAGCCATCAAATGATTGAGAATCCTAGTAATCTCCCCAAACAAAGTTCGGATCCATTTAGCTCTTTCTGGTACTTCGATGTTAAGAAGTTTCTCCACTGCTAGAGAATAACACAATTCATTTGTCACTCATTCCTCAGCTCGTGTGACCTCAGCAAATGAGCTGTTACTTACTCATTGACACATAATCTAGTCGGTCAAAGTAAGGTAAAGCCTGGGTATAATTTTTGTACTCGATGAGCTTTTCCGTCCCTCGATGCAGCAAACCGATATGAGGATCGGCTCGAAGAATTTCCTTTTGAAATCAGTCTACTGTTTGATTGACCCGGAGAAAATGAAGAACACACCTCCCCGTTCAATTCCAAGATCAATCTGAGCACACCGTGAGCGGCGGGATGTTGAGGTCCAAAGTTGACAGTGAAATGACGCATGCTGGCTTCGTTCCGATTACCAGATTCATGTAGGATTTGCTCAGCAGTGAGGTCATGCAGTCTGATTGATCAGTATAGTAGCTAGCAGCTGGACACATGAAGGAAGTGGACGTACTCCTCTACCGAATGGGTGCGGAGAGGACTGGCTCGACCTTCTGGTGGAGCAGGGGAAGCGAGAGATCGAAGAGGTGTGGAGGACAGGGATCGGAGTGAAGTGGAGGCGTGTGATGGGGCGGGGATTTTGGAGAGGAGTGGTCGAAGATTACGGATCATAGTGGTAATAATGGGGATGCTGGGGAGGGACAATAGGTGGAAGGGGATGGTCCCTAGGCTGGGTAGATATCGAGGTGAATTGTTGAATAGGTTGGCTGGGACAAGATCGGGGCGAGCCACGGCCAATCGGGAGAAGGATGTTTAAAACGCCGCAGGACGCCGAGAAGTGGCTCAATCTCATGCACTTCCCACCACCTGACCCAATCTTCGCTTCTTGCTACATGCTAACTTACATGCTACACCCATCTTGCTTCCAAACTCGACCTCGGTAGTGATTGGGAAGCTACAAAGGACTCTTCAGTCGTCAGTCTGGCAATGCAAACTGATAACTGACACCTTCCAGATCGTCTTCCATGGCGGCGATCTGTGCGTTTCAACCAATCTCAATCTCCGAACCAACTGCTGACCCCCTACTTATCCATGTAAATCGCTCTCCTTTCTCTCCAAGTGTCCCTTTCTCACACTTATGATCCCAATGCTTCTCCCTTTGTCCCACCCTCATGCTCATGTACCTTCTCTCGCCCTCGTTCGCCGCTTCCTTCGGTCTTTTTTTCTCACCATACACCCAACTCAATCTTCTTCAGTTGATCTCGTCTAACTTTTCTCACCCGCCTGCTCAAAGACGATGACGACCACTTTAGATGACACTTCTCCTTTTTTCTCATACTATGGGAATTGGTTGACTCAGGATGGACCGAATGCGATGGATCCTAATACTTTACCCCTTTATCACAATCAGACGTATCATACGGTCACTGCGGTAGACGCTTATGTGATACTACGATGGAAGGGTACTGGTGTAACCCTCTATGGAGCTGCACGTTCAAAGTGGGTTTATCTTCACCGCACTCGCCCCCCTCTATGATCCATGACGTTTTGATGATCTCGGTGGAGAAAATGAGCTGATCGTGAAGTAAAGGCAATTTCTCCGTTTCAGTTGACGGTGGAAGTGTCATAGTCATCAATGGATATTCAGCGACGAACGTCGTTCCTTGGGAAATGTACCAAGTGGCCAACTTACCAGATACTATTCACCAAGTGCAACTCACCAATGCACCGAGTTGGCAATATAATACGCCTGGGACAGGTAGGCCTTCCTTATCTCTATCCTTATCGAAAATTGATTAACAGCCTTTGGCCTCGATTACGCAGTGGTAGTGGGAACACCGTCAGTATCTAAATCTACTCTACCTATTCTCCAGCAAAGGTAGGGATCAAGACTGACAAGACAGATTGACCCCAGGTCAATTCAACTCTCTCGCTTCTTCCTCTTCATCAAGTACCGTTTCCTCCACCGCCTCATCGTCAATATCATCCTCTGCCTCTGCCTCCGTCTCCAGTTCTCCCCCCTCATCCAGCTCATCCTCTCAAATGAGCTCGACAACATCGAGCAATGTTCCGTCTCTGACAGCAATCACGGATATAGGAACAAGTCCACCATTATCCTCATGGACAGCTGAAGGTTCTCAAACACCAAGTTCAATGTTGTCATCAGCGAGCGGAAAAGGTACGACGGTATTGGGAAATGGGAATGCGACTTCTGGTCCATCCTTGAATCCTGCCGACCTCCCGGCCTCACTAGGGGCTTTCACTGCTGGTGCTTCGGTCACAAGTCAGCCTTTGACGGTGTTGTTGAATGCTTTAGTCCTGCTGGTGGTGATAATGTGTGGAATGCGATAGGTCATGGGGTATCCGTCAGGCGTTGAAAGAGCCATGTGCCAGGATGGGAGTTGATTACTAGCGGGAAATTCATCGTGCAGGTGCGGTCTTCTCTCGATACATTTCTTCGATAAGAGAACTTCCTGACCCTTCTCAGTAAGAAACTGACTTGAACAGACAGCCGACCGGTGTCTGTTCCAATGGGTGTAGAGTCTGTCACAGCAAACGTGACTCAACTATCTAATGGAGGTTGCAGTGATTATCCCACCGTCACATTCGTCAGCGGCCCCGATGGAATTTCGCCCGACGGGTGACCATGAGGTTTCTGTACTCGACTTTCGTACGAAGTACACTCCTCACAGTCTCAAGGCTGTCCAATCTGACCTTCAATCATTTGAGCCACTTCGAAATGCTCTTGAGAAAGTTATGATAAGTATACTTTACTTAATACGAGTCTTGCCTGGCATGTCATTCGGGAGAAACGAAGGCCGTGGGAGGCCCTGGGAGTACATGAGTGGCTTCACTTTTATTTGCAGATACATGTGAATTCTTGCTTATGCCATCGTGCTACTTTGACTTTCTCCCGATTTTGACCAGCATTCTCTCCACAGATCTCCCATCGCCGCTGTATACGCTGTCTTCCGTTGCACTACTTAAACTTTACGCGTCGCGCTTTCCCCTTCCCCACTTTCCCCCACCCCATTCATCTCAATCTTCTCAATCTCTCATCTTCTTTCCTCATCAGTCTCTCATCATGTCCCTTACAATTCCCTCCCCCAACTCCGAACCCATCGCAGAACCTTTGACCGTCCTATCTACTCTCCGCTCTCATCTACTCCCAACTCCTCTCCTCAGTCTACTCCCATCTGCTCTTCAGCTCTTCGCCCACCTCCAATCTCTCCGTGGACAACTGACTCTTGAATCAACTCGAATACTCGAGACCCATGCTCAGATGGTACTTCTCACTCAAGATTCAAAACAGGAGAACCTTGACTGTTTGACGAGAGATGAAATCAAGTTAGTGAATAACGTGAGAAGTAGGGAAAATGAAGAAAGAGAGATGGAATCTGTTAGTATACATTACAGAAAATACGTGCGTCTTTTCAAGTCTTCTCAATACACCTGATATATCCTTTTGTCGCCATATCACTTGTGTGAACCACATAATCTCTCTTCTTTCATACATTTTTATATCATCAAGATACACATCGACGAAAGAGCTGACGACAAGCATTTAGCATGTCTTCTCATCGCGGATATCTCACCTGATAAAATCACTCCTTTGGTAAACTTATATTTCCCCACTACTCAACAAGCCCAAACTATCGGTCATCTCTTCATTCGGCTTCTCAAACCGGCCGATCTTGTTTCTCTGGAAGAACATCGAACTCAAGTTTTGTACTGGTTAACGAGAAGAAAAACATCTCGGTATGTTTTCTTGAGGTATGGAATGCGAGATACTGATTCTAGTTTGAGTTTTGATGCTCTGATCGAGGGGACGCAAGGGGAGGTAGGTGATAGTTTGGGTAGGGAGATGTTAAGGTTGTCTGAGAGAGTATTGGAGGATTGTGAAATATTGAAGAGAGTGATTTCGTCTTCACCAGTAAGTAAAATATTACTTCTCATCTTCCCTTCTCACCCTTCACCCCTGACACGACCGTATTTCTCCAGAGTACTACTTTCCTCCTCGGCTTTTCTCAAGCTTACCATGTCTCATCTGTCGCCTTTCGGAGTAAAGTATAAGCTACTTTGTTCAAGATTTGAATTTCACACTGTCGGTAAATGTTGCGGAAAGTTGCAAATCCGTGTATGTTTGGTAACTAACCACCAGACTTCCACTCCGATACTTACTCAACCCGAAATTTCTTCTGGCCCGTCTCACCAAATCCTTCGGAAAAGATCTCATTCCCCCTCTCCAGATCATATAGCTAGACTACCAAGACTTTCTTTCGATATTTCTCGCGGACGACCCCGAGTCTCTCTTACGCCACATAACACCTCCATCCACACTCACTCACCCTCCATGTCCATCTCTCTCTCCCCTTCTACCCATCGCGGTGGACCTATACGAACACTTGAGAATCCTCGACCGGTTTCTCCCACTGAACTCCATTCTTCATCATCTGCGCGCCCTTCGTATGCAGCAAAAGCGATGTATCCCGGACCTCAGGATGAGTCGTCCAGGAGATCAGGAGAAAATGACGGGTATGAGAAAGGGGGATCGAAGTCGAGAAAACGGCCTAGGGCGTTAATGATAGATACCGGACCAGACTATACCGCTCCTAGTCCGAGATTGGGGGAGAGAGTTTCGAAAGACCAACTCAGACCGTTTCCATCATCCATGTTGCGTCGGTCTATAGGGAAAGACGAGGGTAGTACTCGTAGAGCTAGTCCTCTGAGACGTGGTAGTGTGGGAGGAAGGACGAGCTCTGTTTCAGATACTTAGAGTACGAGTACTCGAGTAGAGTCTGATAATTTAGATTCAAAATCGAAGACTGTGATGTGTTACATTTGCAGACTACATATACTTGTATAGGTAGAAGTGGCGTGTAGGGATAATCCGGCCACTTCTGTAATTATTCCCCTCACTTTTTTTCGGTTTTTCCCAAAACACGCCACTCAACCTTTCCTTCACCCCACTCCCTTTCCACATACCATCACTCCACATACACATACCATCACTCCACAACCACATACCATCACTCCACATCCACATACCATCACTCCACATCCACATACCACCACTGCTGAGTCAAAACTCCCACTTCAAAACCATGCTCAGTTCTCTGCTTTTTGCACTTAACCTGCTCCCACACATGTGTTCAGGCCTGTCATCCAGCCTTCTTGTCTCCATGTGAACTAGTTCCCATTTAATATGATCACTTCGGGCTTCGGGCTATTTCGCCGAACCGTCAGGCACACCCCGAAACATCAGGCACACCCCGGCACACCCCGGCACACCCCGGCACACCCCGGCACGTAGGCCAAACATAAACAACTTCAAAATGAATTTTTTAACATCAAAGTCTCTATAACCTTTGTACTCTACTCACATTCTCTACTCACATTCTCTACTCACATTCTCATCCATTTTTCTGCCCATATGTCTGACACCAGCCAGCAGGCAAACAATCTCATTGTCAATGCTGCCAGATCAATCACCAATAGGCCTGGGCGTCCTCCAAGAGTATTTCGCCATGATTCAGATGCGATCTTTGGAGTTTCGAAAGTTGTACCAGGCGAGTTTTCAAGATTACAGTCCCCTGTGTCAAACGATTTGCTCACTTACCCCAGATCTTCCTACTCAAACTTGGCCAAATCCCTCACTTGTACCAACCGGAGACCTGTTCGCTGAACGAGCCCAGATACACACAGGTTAGTTATCTCGTCCTATGTGTTGTGGATAAGCTTCTAACTCCCAGATCGTCTCTCCACTGTGGCCGAAGAGGAAGCATTGCAGTTCGCATTGGCCAATGGCACCTATGTGTTGTGGATAAGCTTCTAACTCCCAGATCGTCTCTCCACTGTGGCCGAAGAGGAAGCATTGCACGATGGCCAGCGAAACACCCTACACCCTATCGAACAGCCCAGCGAACACGGCAGCCAACCAACTACCGAACAATACCGAACAGCGCAGCTCTCACGATGGCCAGCGAAACACCCTACACCCTATCGAACAGCCCAGCGAACACGGCAGCCAACCAACTACCGAACAGCTGGGCGAGCAGCCCAGCGAACACGACAGCCAACAAGTCACCGAACAGCTGGGCGAGCAGCCCAGCGAACACAATAGCCAACAAAATACCGAACAGCTGGGCAAGCAGCCCAGCGAACACAATAGCCAACAAGTTAGTAAATCGATCTCGAAGAGTTCCCATTCTTCGTCTTCAAACTCCACGCCTTCGACACCTTTCCAAGCCACTGGCTTGAGTCCAATTCAATCAAACACTTCGGCAACTCCACAGTCTACATTCGGCTCCTCATCAACTGGTGACCTTGGCGTCACACCCCACAGCATCGATCAAGGCCGACGCGAAGCTGCTCTTCGTCTCCAGCTCTTGGAAATTCCTTCCCATTCTTACACATCCGAAGGCCCCGAAATCCCTCAGCTTGACGTTTCGGTACACCGATCTCAAGCTAGCCAAGGTGACAACATACGCGAAGTTGGTGGCTTTGCCCGCACACCCAAGCAGGATATCATCAACGATCCCCGATACGAATCATTTGAGGTGCCCTTTCGCTGGATCCCTAGGGCTTTTGATACCATGGCAGGTCTTTCTCCCTGCATTCCCTTCTAGGCTGATGTTACTCAGCGTCAAGACTACAATGTGGAGAACCATTATGTCTCCAAGCACGTCGAAGTTGAATGGCTCGACCCGCCTGCTCTTTTTCCCTACGACATAAGAGCCCGTCATGCGAATTTCTTCGTCAGCGACAAAGCCTTCGAGGACGGTCCGGACAAGCTTGTGTGGAGGTCCATCTGGAGATGCAGTGGTAACTGCTGCCAGGTAGAAGCCCCACGGCAGACACTGGCACAAGTTTTAGCAGAGCGAAAGGGTTCCTCGCTCTCCGAAGACCTGGATGAGACTTCGCCCCCACCAGCATCAAGCCCGCTCAAAACGCAATCATCAAAAGGTTTACCTCAAAGGTGTGCCTTTTTCGCCGAGGTGGGTTGGCGTTTCTTTACCGAATAGCCCTGTCACGCTCACGGTCAACAGATACGAATGACTCCTCGACAGATACATCGCGCAGTCTGCACTTTGATTAGAGCCCGAATCGCCTATCATGGTGAACCCCAACCTTTACACCTACTCCGTCTTTCCCCTTATGTCAGAAATCTTCTTCATGACGCTGCAACAATGGTTGGCACCACCGAATCACGTTTAAAAATTCGTTGGGACCAACATTTCTGCCAATACCATCAGTATGTAACATGGGCCAAGAAAGAATGCCCCTGGCGGTTGCCGAAGGATCGAGACTTTACCACTGCCATCAGGACGGCTCTTCGTCGAGAGAGACTTGATAAATTGCCATTGGCAGCAATTGCTATTGTTCATGCCGCGAATCCTGAATCGTTTCTCAGGTGAGTCCAGCATCCAGAACGCTTCGCCATTCTTTTACTGATGCCTCTAGCTATCAGTACCCCAGTAGTCTTCAACTTGGTGGCGTTGAACACATCCCAAAAGATGAAGAATTCCTCTGCGTTATCGCCCCGAAACACGCTCTTCAATCCGCCATCCGCCACGCCAGAGAGCAGGGATTAGCCATGGACTCTTCTTGGAGAAACAAGAACGCCATAAGGTGCCCAGTCACTTTTTTGACCACTGTCAATGAGTACGGTCACATGGTTCCCGGTGAGTCTTGACCAAGCCTGGCTGCCAACCTGCTGACCGTTAATCAGTTGCTGTGATGGTCTCAAATCACGCAAACACAGACACATACACACATTTCCTTGAAACAGTTCGCGAAGCTATCGAAAACGAAGCCCGTGCGCTTGTCAGTGGGAAATCGGACATTGTCAGTTCGGCAGAGGATAAGGACTCCTTGCTCATGTATGCCGACGATATCGCCTTCGACGGATTCACCCCTCTATTTGTCATGATCGATTGCGACGATGCAGAGCGAAATGCTGTTGAAGAAGTATTCCCGGGAACACCAGTTCGTCTCTGTCAATTTCACTTCATGCAAGCTGCCCGATCTCGAGGACAGTCTATCTTTGGCAGAGATCCCACTGGCTGTCAAAAGGTTTCTCAATTTCTTGCGGGACTTCGTGACTGCCAGCGATGCGATGACGAAGAACACTGGGACGAGACATATGCACGTTTCCAGGTCAACCTCGCATCCTTGACGCGAAACAATACGGAGACATGTGAGGACATTTCGCGATGGCTTGAAAGCTGGTGGTTCAGCGATAGGTGGAGGCCAGCCCTGGTTGACTACGGACTTCCAGCAAATCACACCAGAGATGGAACTCTTTCCACAAACAACTTCGTCGAGGCGGCTTTTCGCACATTTGATCGTGTTTTCCTCGAAGCCAGAGCCAATAAGCGCATTGATAGACTCATTGTCATCATCATCAATGTCTACTTCCCAATGTACCTGCACTCTCCTCCAACTTCCGGCCGGTGTGACCCTCAAGTCCGCGAAGTCATTCTACTAGGACTGGATCTGTGGCAAGTCAATGCTGTCAGACTGTGCCCTCCAAATCAATGTCCCGAACTGCCTGTCCGACTTCGGGCTACTTACAAAGTTCAGTACGCCCACCTATCCAGCGGCAGCCGCGATCCTCCACAAGTCCACTACTGCGGAATTATTGCCGGTAGCCAACGTGAATGGTGCTCGTGTTCGTTCTTCAATCAGCGAGGCAAACGGTGCGGTGCCCTCTGGGCTTTCTATTGTTATCGAAATTGTGGAAGTCAAGAAGCCTATGTCGAAGAAATCACCACCATTGCTTCTTCTATGTCCTTATCCTCGGGCACAAAGCGTGAACACCAACGCGTCGACACTTCGCTTGACGCTGACAGGGAGGACTTGATAGCCTGGTGGGGACATGATCCCACCGAACCTGTGGAGCGCTATTGGAGCACCACCGAACGACCAACAAAGTCGACTGCCGTGAACATCGACAGCGAACACTTGGACTCGCTGGTCAGACCGTTATTGCCCCCTCTCAGCTCCCCCATCGGCAGACGACATACACGAAATCGTGCTCGACTGCAACCGCCCCCTGAAGATTCGCAGGTCTCTAGTCAGCTTGATGGACACGGAGCAGTGGATCGTGGCGGTAGACCTGCACACACGCGTCCCTTACATCCTGGAAGAAGTCGGAAGCCCCCAAAGAGTCATATTGCATTCCGTCCCGAAAAGTTGCCCTCGCAACAAAGGCCTGTCGGTGCAGTGAACCACCAACAGTCCTGTTTCGCACAGGCGTTGTTCCATGTCCTTCTGCGTCTTCCAACCTTCGCCGAAGGGCTTGACGCCATCAAGCAACCACTTCGTCACCATTTGCCTGGTCTGACTCAAATTTTGGAGAACTTTCACCATTGTATCTCAACATCTCACACGGTCGTTGACATTCCAACGATGGTGGATGTCTTGCGACGTAAGTAATCCTCACTATTGTCGCTTTTGTCCCACCGTAGCTAATATTAGGCGAAGGATTCATTGACGAGCAAGCTCAACATGATCCTTGCGAGCTCTTCGAAAGAATCAGTGTCCAGATCCGTCAGTGGGTTGCCAATTCGGCCTTTGAGAAAGCATTTCGCCTACCAGTGTCTTGGGAATATGTCACCCACGTTTGCCACCATGTACACCCTGCACCCAAAAGTGACCCAACACTTGAACATTATATGCAGGTTCTTCACATCCACCCAGCTCGATTCAACACCGTTCCTAGTCCTGTGCCTGTCACCATGTCTCAGATGATTGAACACGCTTTCTGGCGTC